GATAGAAATTGTCATCCTGAATTTAAAAAAAAATAAGATCCATCATTATGCTTTCCATAACACACACATTTTAGATTCAAATGCATAAAGAGGTGAAAGTAATAGGATAACAAAAGATCTACCCTACAAACAGTAACCCCATAAGTGAGCACAAGTGGCTATTCTAATATGAAACAAAGTAGCTGTTAAAGCAAGAAATATTATTAGAAATTAAAAGAAACATTGCAACACGTTAAGGCTGTCAATATGAGATGAAGATAAAATAATTATAAACATATAGTATTCACCTAACAACAGAACCCTCAAACACATGAAATAGAAACTGACAGACTTGGAAGGATAAATAAACAATTCAATGCATGTAATTGGAGATTTAAAAGCTCTTCCTTAAACAGTGAGAGAACAGCAGGTCACAAAATCCAGAGACTTATGGAAGGCTGTAAAAGCACTAGGAACCAGCCTGACATACCTGACATACATAGAAATTATTCTTCTAGGTCATAAGTAGGGATCAAACATTTAAAGGATGGAAATTTTCAAAGTATATTCTCCAAAGACAAAGGAATAAATTAGAAGCAACAATAGAAAGAAATGTGGGAAATTTCCAAACATGTGGAAAAGTGATAAACTTCTGAAAAATTTACAGTTAAAAAATGAAATCTGTGAAAATACCTTATACTGGATGATACTAAACTGAGAATATATCAGACTTTTAGGGTGGAACTAAATGGGTGTTATACGCAAACAATGAGTCATGGAACTCTACATCAAAAACTAATGATGTAATGTATGGTGATGAACATAACATAATAAAATAAAAATAAATAAATAAATAAAAATAAAGTAGTGTTTAGAGACAGTTCAAAGTTTTGTCACTTATACTCAAAAGGAAGAATGTTATAAAATGCATGATCTGAGTATCTTCCCTCTCAAGAAGCTGTACGGAGAAGAGCCAATTAAAGTTAGAGAAGAAAGAAATGATAAACATATACTTAGCTGAAAGCTGACTGTGAAGTATGTACAGTAGAATAACTCATGGTAGCTCCAAATGGATCAATACCCAATATCCAAGAGCATTAACAATAACATGGATGAATACACTGCAGTAGAATCAGACAACAGAACAGCAAGGAGAAGGGACAATTTACAAATTCATGCAACTATATGGATGAAACACATGTTCAGCTTCCCCTGAAAATGCCAAAAATAAAATATGCATACTGTATGATTTTATTTATGTAAATGTTTGTAAATGGAGTTGAGAACATGAAAGGGGCATTTTGTAGAGCTGGTAATATTCATTTTCTCATTCATATGATGGTGACACTTGAAAATTCAGCCAGTTGTTGGCATGTATTGCATGTGCAACCATCTGTATGTACATTATACCACAATAAAATTACCATAAGAGAATATTATGAAAATATACAAATATCTTTAAAACTAGACATAAAATTGAAAAAAATCCTACCAAATACAACTTGTGAAAACCAAAACAAAGAGAAATAAAAATATCAGAAGTGTCTTAACTTCTACTATAACTTAATCTGTAATTCAGAAAGCTTTTCATACTCAGTTACAGAATATTTAGATGCTTATGAGTAAAGAAAAATGAAATACCAATTAAAAACCAAAAAGAAACCCTTATAAGGTAGAAAAAAGGGTCTAATAAAATATGTGTTGTGTACATTTTCTTGGAATAATAAAAAAAGGAAATTACGTGTCAGTGACAATCATAAACTGATTCTGACAATATATAAAAATAATGGACTATGACATAAATAGATTTACTGAAGCAATACCACATTGGATTTACATGTGAAATTACATAAACTTAATCTGTCACATTAGCAGAGTAAAGAAGGTCAAATGATGTGATTTCTCTGATGCAGAAGGCAACTGATAAAATTAATTTTCATTCTTAATTTAAAAAAATTAAACTGATAGAAATAAAAAGTAAACATCCATGCAAAGATCTAGAATAGATATGATAACCCTGAAAAAGAACTAATACAAACACACTGTTTACAAAAGGAGGATTTTTAAAGTATAGATTGACATAAAAATACATACAAGATTAAAGAAACTGAGGAGAAAGAGCAAAGTTAACACCCACACATATATGGAATGCAGATTTCAACAAAGATGCAAAGTCATTCTGTGGATAAAGTATAGTCTGAGAACAAATGTTGTGGAGACAATTCAGTATCAAATGAAATTAACAATATATACCTTATACTATGTACAAAAATGCTAAACATTGATCATCCATAAGTATAAATAATAAACTTTCAAGAAGATGTATTAGAAAAAACACCTGACCTAAAGTTGTGCAGAGATTTCCTAGAAAGATCAACAAAACATGACCCATAAAAGAACAAATTGATGAAGTGTAGTTCATTAAGATAATGTCTGCTTTTTAAAGAGAAGAAAAAGACGACTCATAGACTTGAGAGGAAATATTTACAAATCATACATCTAATAAAATACTTGTTGCCAGGATACACAAAGAATTCTCAAAATACCATAGCAAAAAGTAAAAATATAACCAAAATATTTCAAGATATTTCACCAAAAAGCATATATTGATGGCAAATAAGTACAGGGAAAGATGCTTAACACTATTAGTCTTAGGAACATTCATATTAAAACCACTACATATCAGAATTCCTGTTCCAGCAAGATAGAGAGGATATACTGTTCCCTATTTCTTCCACCAAATACAGTTAAACACCTGGACATTATATACAAAACAACATAAGATTCAAACAGGTGATGAGAAAACTGACAGAACTGGGCACTCCAGCTCCAAGGAATGACATGGCGGTGAATGCCCCGGAATTTATCTTTTATCACATAGCCCAGACTGGTGAGCAAACCACAGACACCAATGGGTACAGACAAAAGTCCCCAAAATGTTTTTTTCTCTCCAGTCAAAACAATGGAAAAAAGGCATGCTAGAAAGAAAAAAAATGTAGAAGCTAAGTGCATTATTCCAATCAAAAATCACTGACTACCTAGCAAAAATATCACTCAGGAAAGCAGGGGAAATCAAGACAGTCTGTGATAAAGGAAAACTAAGAAAATGTGTCACCACCAGATGCACTCTGAAAGAACTGCTAAAGGGAAATATCTAAACAGAAATTAAATGATAACAGAGGGAACCTTGGATTATCAGGAAGAAGGAGACAACCAAAGAAAGATAAAACTATCATTAGGTCTAATGAATTTGTTTCATCTCTTGTGTTGTCTAAATTGTTTGATATTTGAAGCAAAATCATCAGTTGAAACAAAATTATAACATCCATGTGATTCTCAATATAAGTAGAAAACATTTAAGACAATTCTAGGAGAAATGAGACACAGTAAAGGGACATCAAGGAAGGTAAGGCTCTACATTTTAGTCGAAGTGCTGTGGGCTGTGACAGACTGTGTAGACTGATATATGTGTATATAATTATTTACACAGAGATATCTCGTATCTATATTATTTACATGAAGCAGATTAGAACACATATGGCCATATATCTAACTTTATGTGTATAAAGTTATGTATGAAGAAAAGATCTACTCTGTTGTAAATTATGCTCCATCACTTAGGTCATGATGTAGAAAAGTGTAACCTTCACTTTTATCTCCCAGCCTCATAAACACAGCATCACAAAAAATAAATTCCAAGTGGATCATAAACCCTAACTAAAGGTTAAAAAATAAAGAAACAAAAAAAGGTAAATCCAGGAAAGTAATATAGGAAATTATATTCATGAATTTTGAGTAACTTCTGAAATAGGTCCAAAATAATCACTAACACCCAAAATGATAAATTGGACCATGATAACATTAAAATTCGGATCATTAAAAGACTCCAATAGGGGAGTAAGAATGCAAGATACAGCTATTTCCAACTCATAAACTCAAAAAAGTGCTTGTATTTAAAACATGATGAGGACTTCTAAGAAGACAAAAGAAAACACCATCTAGGAGAAATGAGCAAGAGACACACTTGAACTCTTCATATTCTCGCCAAAGAGAATATCCTAATGACTCCCAGTCCAGAAAAATGATACTGTTATATAATCACCAGAACTTAATCGTATTAAATTTTATGAGACTACAGAGTTTTGGATCAAGGGACTATTTGTACAATGTGTATTTACACAATACACTAGATAAATGTAGGGATAATTTAATATATTGAAAGACATACATATCTATGACTGTGAAGTTTCATACTAATGCTTAGAAGAAAATGTGTTATAATTATATGTAAATACAATTATAATGTTATACATTATTTTGTTATGAAAAATGCAATATTTACATTCTAGAAATATACCATATACTATGTAGTTATGTATAATAAATTATTATAAATACAAGTGGAAAAAGACATAGAAAAGGCCTTTCATTATATAATTATTCATAATATCCACACACCAAAATGGAACTAAATTTCTGAGAACAGATTTTAAATGTCATATTCATATAAGACAGCAGCAGTGAAAATTCACAAAATATAGACAAATGCGATAATACAATTGGATTACAAATATGAGAGCAAAAGGAGACACACATAAAAATGCATACTGCATGATTCCATCGATATAAAGTCCAAAAATAAGATATTTCACATTATTAAAATTGGCAGGGCTAAAAGAGGCTCTAAACTTATCGTTCATGATCTGATTTGTAATTGTGTGATTCTATTTTGTGATGATTGTGCACATTCATATATTTAGTTTTCTTGACGTGTTAAAAAAAAGTAAGGTTATTTCAGGTAAAAGCATTTATTGAAGTATGGTTTTCTTTGAAAAGCAAGAACTGGAAATTATAAAATATACATTAAAAGTATAAAAATATAAATATCATAGAGTCAAACAATGGAATAGTAACAGACTTTAAAATAAGCAAGAGATATATACAAATATATGGATGAACTCTACAAATATAATATTAAATGATAAGCTTTTTATAAAATCTGGAAACATTTGAATTCTCACCATTTCCTCTTCATCATCCAGGTGGAACAGTTTAGAGCTCTTAGAAGCACAGGATGACCAGCTCTCATTCCATGATTTTCTTTCAGTACTAATGTAATAGCAATTGTTGGAATATGTAATCCAATCTTTTGGACAATGAAATGCTGGAGAAAGTTTATGAGATATTATCCAAAAGGCTTTGAATATTAAAACTTGCAAATTTACAACTTGCCTATGTATACACAAATGTGTATATAACACATCAATTTACCCTCACAAGCTGGCAAAAATAAAACAGAACACACACAAACTCCTAGAAGAGTCAGTCTTTCCCCCCCCATTTATGTGCCCACATGAAGCAAACATACAAAAATGTCCATCTCTACATGTGCTCTGAGTCATTGAACAAGACCACTTTTTTGGAATTGCATAACGATTTATCTCTTATCGTGTTATAGCATGTGGAAATTTGAGGCCATTGGTAACAATGAGTAGGTGACTTTTATTTTATTTTATTTTATTTTATTTTATTTTATTTTAAGACTTATTTATTTATATGAGAGAGAACACGAACAGGAGGGGCAGAAGGAAAGGGAGAGAGAATCTCAGAGTCCATGCTGAGTATGGAGCTGACATGGGGCTCAATCCCAGGATCCTGAGATCACAACCTGAGCCAAAACCAAGAGTCACTTAACTGACTGAGCCATCTAGGCACCCCGGGTACGGTGATTTTAAATGAATATGTCCTCATACTGTTGCATAAAAAGTAATACTCTCCTATATTCATTATTTCTGAAAATTTATTATGCAATTTTCTAATTCATTTTCCCCAAAAGCATCTATTATCATCCTTGTCTAGCTTAAGATAGAGATAAAATATAAATTATCCTAATATCATTTTGAAAATGATGTTCTACCTTTCTGGGTCTTTGTTTCCAAGGATGCTTTGTTCTGCACTGGTCCTTCAGGAACTAGAAAAATTAAGGCAATCCTCATAAAACTTGATAAAACTTAATATTACACTAAATAAATCATTATGATTTGAGTTTCTTAGTTTGAAGTTTGGTGTATTGTTTAGAATGAGAAAACTCTGTAATAAAATAGATTTTACCCATAAAAATTGAATAAATAATGAACATGTGGGCAAAGATAATTCAAAAGTTTAAAGAACCGATCTCACAGTCTTTTACAATATTTGGTTTAACCAATCTCACGAATTAATTTGCATATCTCAATTAGGTCTCTCCTATAGCTTGCATTTGAGTTATGAAATTTGAATATATGTGTAATACTCTCTATAATTATTCTGTTATTTCTACTTTTGACAAATTCAGAATAACCATTCCACACTTAGAGTAACATGCATTAAAATGAGATAATACAATTCCATAATATTGTGCAACATTTCAAGGCACTGATGATCATTAAAGTGAAAAATTCCCATGTAGTCATTCAAACACTTACTTACAGGGAATAACAGCTATTGTGACAACAGTGGACATCAAGACAAGGCAGATGATTCCCAAGATCCCAGCAACAAGCTTCCCTGAACATGAAGGTATATAGTAGGAAGAGAAATGAAAATTCTGAGAAAAGATGGATGGAAATAATCATTTAGGAAATTTACATACAAAAGACCCAACAACGCACGGGGAATCACATATAAAAATTTGGACCCCAAACCTGTAACTACCATTGTAATCTTCTCTCAGAATATACCATTACATTTGCAGTAAATATATTACCCCCATGAGACTGGGTAAAGACCATGAATTATAAGACTTGAACAAGGTTTGTCCTCAGATTTCAATTACAATACTATATTCCAGCTCCAAGCTCTGATCCTCACAAATGAAACATATGGGAGATCATTCCCTACTCATTCCCTACGCCCCTGTACCCCAACTGCATATCCTAGAACAGTTAGACTATGTGTGTATTGTTTTACCTTTCCACGGGTAATTCTTGCCATTCCCTTGAAGATCCTGAGAAGCATTTTGAAGATTTAATTCTGCATAGGTTATTTCCTGTTCAGTTATTGAAATGGAACTTTTAGTGCCCTTAGCTTTCATTTGCTGTCTTTTTGAGCCCTTAACCTGATTGAGTTCTGCATAGGTAACTCCTTGGTTACTCATCTCTGCAGCTGAGTAGTGTCAGGCACGGTGCTGAATGGGACCGTACTGAAGGACTTGATGAATAGCGTATGTAATGACAAGATTGCTAGAACAGTCACACTGGGTGGAGTGTGTGGTGAGTGATAGTACTCATTTGCAGTTGGACAATGTAAAATCTGGTACTAGTTTCCTTAGATTTTTAAAGAAGGGTTTCATGATAGAATAAGTGGTTTTTACAATGATGTTCTATGTTTGACACAATAGTATTGATTGGAAAAATGTAAAGCAATAAATTAGTGAAGAAGAAAAGAATTCATGAATAATATTGTCCTTATTAATGTAAGGTCAGATTCCACAGAAACATGTCAACATTATTAGAATAACTGGGTTAATATTAAAATGCTGTGTTAGAAAGAAAATGCTGCACCAATTTTTTTTGACAAGTTTTAAATGCATTATTGCTTTAAAAAATTGAGTCCCCTAGATTAGGGAATACTAGTTTTTGCACACATAGGAAATTCCTGTAGTAAATACTTTTATTTGGGATTTAGATTTCTTTACTGAAAGGTCATGTAGTGCAATCAAGTGGTCTTTATTTTGAATAATTGTGGAGTTCTGAGAAATCATTAAATTTTAAAAGAAATATTTTATATGTTGAAAAATGTTATATGACACAGTAAACATCCAAAACCTGAGCAATAATGAAAACAAAAAAACAAAAATTATTTTTTAAAAGTACTTATTTAACAACAGAAATTGACAACAGATTTAATGGTAAAGATATGAAACCATAAAATGACAGATAAAAGTGTAGATCATTTATGAAAGAACACTGTTGGTACAAACTTCCAGAAAGACCTATGAATGTCATAGGCAGTAAGGAAGCTTTAGTTGTTTGAGGAATTCTAATAAATGAAATAAATATTCAGTCAGTGAAATCTGGAATTACTCCTGGCTCTCAAACTTACAAAGTATGACCTTTAAGAAGTTACTTCCTGTCTAGCCACCTAGTTTATACTAACCTCAAATGGGAATTAAATATATATAAAATATAATGCACATAATTAATATTCCATCCAGCTTTTCTAAGATCTCAATAGTATATTAGTTATTTTAAGTATTTTTAACACAATAGTCACAGTATCATTACTGATTCATATCCTTTAGAGCATGTAACATAATCCATTAGATAGGAATATCTTTCAGTATTAAATATCTTTTTTTTGCCAAGTTTTGTTCAATTTTTAAAAAAGTTTTTAAATTGTCTCATACTTAAATTTAAATTAGCATTTTTTAGAAGGTACCGCGTCTTGCTTTTCATGAAAGATCAAACTTTCATTTATCAAAGCAACTATATGAGGAATTACATTTGGCTTTTATGATTTGATGGATTCATCTTAAGAAATTATTTTTTCAAATATTTATATAATTCTAGTTAGTTGACATATAGTATGATATTGGTTACAGGAGTAGAATTTAGCGATTCATCATTTACATATAACCCCCAATGCTCATCACTACAAGTTCCCCCCTTAATACCCATCATGCATTTAGTCCATCCCCAATCCCCCTCCCCTCCAGCAACCTTCAGTTTCTTCTCTATAGTTAAGAATGTCTTATGGTTTCCTTCCCTCTCTGTTTTTCCCTTCACCTATGTTCATCTGTTTTAAGAATTTATTTTTAAAGACTGGGCTAAATATCAAATAATATATGTACTTATATCTATATTGATGACAAATCTAAAATTAACTGTGCCTTACCATGATGCTTATGGGATTTCACTTGAAATTATATTGATTTGAAGACACAATTATGTGCGTATATATGCACTTAATTACTTCTCCACAGGCAAGAATTTGAATATTTTAAGAAATTCTCCAATGTATTTCATACTTATTCTTGTCTGTTACCCTGGTCTGTTGGAATAAAGATACCAATGTTCTCTGTGATTTGATTGTATATTTGTTGTGCCTCAGGTGCATCCCATCCAACATTTGTATCTCCCACTAAATGAGGTGGCTAGTAGATAGATAGCAGAGTAGTGACACATACCTTCTCTTGGCCAGAGAGTCAGGCATCTTCCAGTGGGAGACCAGGTTACTCTTGTAAACAGACAATATCTGTGGTCTTCAAAGACTACTGACCCTGTGAGAGCTTAGAGTGAGGCAATAGTGGAAACACTAGATTTCTCATCAATGTGTCACTTAAAATTTGAACAGGAAATTCTTACACTTGGCCTATTTTGAAGACCGTTTATCTCATCACACACCTCTAAAATGTACACAGTTTCAGTTTGTAGTGTGTCATTTCTTTTGTCTCTTGGCAAGTACCTCTGAGAAATTTTTATGTTCCAGAAGATATTGGGGTCAGAGACTTGACCACCCAGGCTGTTAATTTGCTTCCCTCCGATTCACAAACACTGGGAACTTAGGCCTTGTGAAAATATCTTAGATGTTTAAGTTTTACTTTTAGACAAGTTTGCTAAATCTTCCGTTACATATTTCTTTTTCTTATGCCTTTGCTATGTCATTTCTGTTGTACTCAACATATTCTAATCATCATCTCCTTAACAGGCACTTAATAATATTTGACACTAATTTTGAAGACTCACTGCATTTTCAACTTTATTGTAACTGTCACAAAAACATCAATTTCCAAACTTATCTTCTCAATGTTTTGCCTTAGTTTTAATATACCTGCAATCCATCTTATTATTTGTAAATAAGTTATCTAGGTTTCTGCTGAAAAAAACTAAATGCCTGTGGGAAGGACACAATATTGAACAATATTGAAAAATAGCACCATGCCAAAGATTTGAATATTAAATAATTACTCATATTACGCATTGAGTCATCCTCCAATGATAACAAGTTGATTTTATTTTAATAGGAATACTTGTTATGAATGAGAAAAGTCTAAGTTTAACTATGTGGGGGGGATGAATGTAATTTTTGAAAATTTCACTTAACTGAAAAAATTGAGAGAGGACAAAGTACTTTTAAAACACAATTAGAGGATACATGGACATCCAAAGAAATAAAACATTAAATCTAAATTACCTAGTTTGCATCAATGGAATTCTTGGATTTAATTTGTGAATAATCTTTGAGGATATTTGTATGTATATTTCAATTAGTTTATAGTTCTGGGATTTTGTTTTTGGGTTTTTTTTTTTTTTTGCAAAATTAGGTGACAATTTTATTTTTATTTTTATGTATTTATTTTTAATGATGTATAGTTGACATTCAATATTATACTAGTTTCAGGTGCAGAGATAGGGATTTAACATTTATACACAGTATGATATGATCATCGTGATAAACCTTATTACCATCTATGACCATGAAAAATTAATACAGTGTTATTGACTATATTCCCTATGCTGTAATTTACATTCCTGTGACTTATTTATTTTATACTGAGAATTTGCACCACTGACTTCCTTTCACCTCTTTCAGCCATTCCTCCTACCCTCTCCCCTGTGGCAATCACAGCTATAGTCTCTCTATATATGACTCTGTTTCTGTTTTCTGTGTTTGTTTTTAAGTTCTACATTACCAGTTAAATCATACAGTATTTGCCTTTGTCTGTCTAATTTTATTTACATAAAACCTTGTAGGTCCATCAAAAAGAATTTCATTCTTTTTTATCTGTGAGTAATATCCCATTGCATATATATGTTGCTTCTATTTATTCATTCATCTATAGATGGACAAATGGGTTGCTTCTATATGTTGGCTATTGTAAATAATACTGCAATAAACAGAGGGTGCATACACCTCCTCAAGTTAATGTTTTCATTTTCCTCAACTAGATACCCTGAAGTGGATTTTCTGGATATTATAGTACTTCCGCTTTTAATTTTTTGAGGAACCTCCATACTGTTTTGAATTGTTACTACACCAATCTAAATTCCCACCAACAGTGAACAAGGTTCCCTTTTCTCCACATCCACACCAGTATTTGTAATACTTGTCTTTTCAATTCTGATAGGTGTGAGGTGAGATCTCTCATCATGGTTTTGATTTGCATTTTCCTGATGATTAGTGACATTGAGGATCTTTTCATGTGTTGGTTGGCCATCTGTATGTCTTCTTTTTTTTTAAATTTTTTTAATTATGTTTAGTTAATCACCATACATTACATCATTAGGTTTTTCATGTACTGTTCCATGATTCATTGTTTGTGTATAACACCCAGTGCTCAATTCAGTACGTGCCCTCTTTAATACCCATCATTAGGCTAACCCATCCCCCCAAACCCATCCCCTCTAGAACCCTCAGTTTGTTTCTCAGAGTCCATAGTCTCTCATGGTTCATCTCCCCCTCCGATTTCCCCCCCTTCATTTTTCCCTTCCTGCTATCTTCTTTTTTTAACATATAATGTATCATTTGTTTCAGAGGTACAGGTCTGTGATTCAACAGTCTTGCACAATTCACAGCGCTCACCATAGCACATACCCTCCCCAATGTCTATCACCCAGCCACCCCATCCCTCCCACCCCCACCACTCCAGCAACCCTCAGCTTGTTTCCTGAGAATAAGAATTCCTCGTATCAGTGAGGTGATATGATACATGTCTTTCTCTGATTGACTTATTTTGCTCAACATAACACCCTCCAGTTCCATACATGTCATTGCAAATGGCAAGATTTCATTCCTTTTGATGGCTGCATAATATTCCATTGTATATATATATACCACATCCTCTTTATCCATATTCCTCTGTCGATGAACATCTTGGCTCTTTCCATAGTTTGGCTATTGTAGACATTGCTGCTATAAACATCGGGGTGCATGTACCGCTTCGGATCACTACATTTGTATCCTTGGGGTAAATAACCAGTAGTGCCTTTGATGAGTCGTATGGTAGCTCTATTTTCAACTTTTTTTTTTAAAGATTTTATTTATATATTTGACAGAGAGAGACACAGAAAGAGAGGGAACACAAGCACGGGGAGTGGGAGAGGGAGAAGCAGGCTTCCTGCAGAGCAGGGAGCCCGATGCAGGGCTCAATCCCAG